TGAAAACGATTTACACGGAGTAAAAGATTTCTTAGGTTGCAAAAACGAACCAATATTGGAGAATAAAAAACTTCAATTCATAATAAAGAAAATGAATAAAGTGTACCAAAGGAAAGCGTTTTCTCTTTCATATTCACGAAAGTATCTTTTTAATAATAAAATCAGACCAAGCCCAAAAATCTGGAGAGATCTTTTTGAATTTTTAGTATCAAGGGGCAAATTTGTAAGAATTTACGCTAGAGTAGGAAAATGGTATAGAAGATCTTGAAAATGTTGGCAATATCAAATGACACAATAAGCCATTAATATAATTTGAATGGTAAGGTGTTTAAATGCACATGTTTAGTGTTATTCCGTTGAATATCATTAAATGTATCATACAACGTTTTTATACAATAAAATATCACTTGTTTCAAATTAATCTTACTCCTTCATTTTTAAAATAGATGAAAAAGTAGTTTCTATTCAACACGATTGATATTTTTCCGAATCAGGTTTTAAGATGATTAATTTATTTGATTTTGAAAGGAGAAAGTAAGGATTTCATTACTATCAGCCAAAGTAGCCTTGTAAATTAATTCAAATAATTGTGTTGATTTTGTATCGCGTTTAACATATAATTAAAATCAAGGAAATTAAAAAAACTCGTCTACTGTGAGAAACATATAGTGGTTTTGTTAATTATGTATATAAAATAGCATTTGGTATTTAAGGTAATTTGTTAGCTCTATTAATGGTCATAACTCAATATATAAAGGATGATAAGATGCAAACTTAAAACACATTTCGTTAAGCAATCAACACATCGTTTATTCCACTTGTATATGAAAATAGCACGTGTTGTGCAAAAAATACACCATCATTCTAACATATGAATGTGTATGTTGTAGTTCATCTGGTGAAACTATTTAATCAGTCCGTATAAACAAAAATACCAAACTAAACAATTCAAACTCAAGACCAAATATCCGTTTTATAGATACCAAAGAATGAGGTAAAGTCAAGCTTATAGTCAAATTATGTATCGTTATAAAACTATGTGCAATTTTTAATGACTATAGTTGGTATTTATGTAAAGTAAGAAATGAACTTATCATAGTGTGATAAGACACTACTTAGAAAGAATAAAACCTAAAAATATTTGAACCCTCTTGACTAAACACGGACTGCCAGGAATCCCGGAAATCAAATAAAGGTTACGTTATCAGCAGAGTTAATAGCTTGTTTTAACATTTTCATTTAAATAAATCTAAGTCACGCCGTAATTTATCATTTTAATGACCAATATAACCCTCCTCATTATCATAGCACTGGAAATCTTTAATTGTCCTATATTTTTTGATCGCGTAGAAATCGCTGACATCTAATCGTGAAGTAACGATTTTCAACGTGATTTTTCTTTTAAACTTCAACAAAACTTCAATGTCTAGATTTGGAATAAATTTGATGTAGCGTAGAGTTAAATGTTTCAAACATTCAAACATAGTTATTTTTTCCAATGTTGTATTGTCTAAACACGTGTCCATAATAACCAATCGTTCGACCCTGTGTTTGATTGCATCTAGGTTAAGTATTTCTATTACTGCTGAATCACTTGGATCCTCGAGTTTGAGAGTTTTCAAGCTCTTTAAGCTTTCAATAAAAGTAATTAATACGGGATTATAAGCGCGAATAATCACTAATGTGTCGATTTGTTGCTCGTCTAGATTCTTGATAATAGGCAGATTGACATTAATTAAATCATAGCAATCTTCGATGATAATTTCTTTTAAGTTTGATAGTTGATTATACCGTGCCAATAGGAAAATTTTATCTAAGTCCTCTATCCGAAAAGATAAAGTTCGCAACTTTTCGACCCACGAATTGGCTCTCGTAAAAATATTACTTGATTCATATAAAGTGGGACTGCATAATTGGACGCATTTTACCAATCGCAACTCATTCATAGCTTGATTTGTCTTTACCGTCACTAACAATCCTTTAACCAACAATTTCTTAAGCGTCGCTACGCCCGCAGCACAATTAATTAAAGCAAAATGTTGATTTTCGATTGAGTGTAGATTACCATTTCCATTAAATATGGTTTGTTCAAAACTAACACTAAGGTACCTTAACTTCTTGAACAATCTTAATAGCTGAAAGTTCAAGCTAGACTTTAAACACAGCTTTAAGTTTACTATGCTGTTGTTTTCAATTAGATGTTTTGACCATTCAAAGCTAAGCGCGTTCAAAGTGCCAATAGTATCAAGATGTTTTTTAAAACTGGTCATTACTTCGCATTGGGTATTACCGCTGTAGCAAAGAAGGCGTTGTTTCAAAAAATTACATTGGTAAAAAATTACACTCTCAAGATGGACAAACTCTCTCAAATGTATAAAAATGTTATCGCTGCTAAAAGTCACACCTACAAATTCTATTCTATTTAAACGATTGTTGGACATGAATTGTAAATCAACATAGTCCCATGCTACGTGAATATCCATAAATATGTTTAAAATTGCTAGAATTAGATTCGTATCATTACAAAAGTATGAAAGACTTTTAGCGAATTCCTTGGACCATGTTATAAATCGAATGTATTTCAGAACGATTCCAAATAAAGATAACATATCAGAATATCCTTCATCCTCGCTTAGCCGCGAAATATACTCCTGTATAACATTTTCAGAAATAATAATTCGATGAAAGCGATCAACACGAGAAGAACAAGGAAGTGGTGTCGTGGTCTTCCTATGAAACTCAAGATTCACACTTATATATGATTCACTGTAAAGAAAGAAACCGTTTTTTTAATAACTGCTAATATTTTCATTAGATCGCGTTTTTTCTTATTATTATGGTGCAACTTCATTATTGTAACATATCCGTGTAGAAGTACAGCGTTGTCAAATACTCGTCTTATCAGATTGTAGCAAAATAGATGACTGTGTGTGGTTTCTTGCTTTACGCTGTTTATTAAGGATAAAAATTCTCTAGTACATAGAGTATCATGCATTTCTTGTGACATATTATCCTCAATCACAGCTTTGATCATGTTAATACTATTCATTGTCAATTGGCAAACATTAACCATGAAGGATTCACAACATTGGTGGCATGTGCACTGCTTATTTATATTATTATATTTCCCTTGACTGTTTATCGGGTTATATACAGTTCGTCTAGTGTTATCTGAGACAGTAGCTGCATTACACACGTTACTGTAATAACGTATTGTGAGATGCAACAAAGTAAGTGTAATGAACGTAAAGTTTAAACGAAACATGCCCTTCAATTTACTGAGCAGCTTGAACTCCGCTAATTTACCTCTTTTGTGTAACGTTCGATTTGATTATTATTAAAACAATTTTTAGATGAGTGGATGACGTGAAATGTTAATTAAAGCGACTTTCATAAAAAATGCTAAAAAATACACATTCAGTGTTTAAGATTACCGCGCATTGATCCAGTAACTAGACAGCGAGGAAGCCTTATAATTCATATAGACTAGTTTTGTAAACTATTGTTCAGACGGATTACTGGAATTATTCGTT